AAACATGCTGGTTATTTTCAAAACAATTTTTCAAGCAGGAGAAAAACTTCAGAATACCGAAGTGTACTTTAGATAATTCGAGGCAGTGTAAGGTAAACAAATAACAAACAGCCCCTTTGCCTGCTCAGCCCCCTTCCTATTCAGTTCCTTCCTAGGTCCATCCCATCCCTTCCCACAGCTTTAACTGTCACCTCTGGGCTGATGTCAGAGGAGCCCCACGGTATTCCACATCTCTTCGTCCCATATTTCCAAAGGCCATACTTGCTGGCTCTGCTACAAGCACTCTATATTCAGCACATGTAACTTAGTTCTCTATCCCCTGCCCTGACAGCCTGCCCTCTGTAGGCCAGTGACCTCACCATCCTATCACCCAAGCTATAGATTTCAGTCACCTTTGGTTCCTTTCTCCTCTTTCACAGATTCTAAACATTGTCAATTCTTCATCCAAAAGGTCTCTTGTATCACCTATCGCCCCCTTCACTATCCTCCTATGGTTATCCTAAATAGGTAACCTCAATAAGTAACCTCTCAAATACCTGTCAGGACTATCTCTGCCTGCAGCCTGTCCATCGTCTCTACTGTCTAATGAAGCAACAGGAAGAGAAATCAAGAAATTGATCCCATTTGTAATTGCACCAAGAACCATAAAATACCTAGAAATAAACCTAATCAAAGGTATAAAAATCTGTATGCTGAAAACTGTAGAAAACTTATGAAGGAAATTGAAGAAGACACAAAGAAATGGAAAAACATTTCATGCTCATGAATTGGGAGAAAAAATATTGTTAAAATGTCAATACTACTCAAAGCAATTTACACATTCAGTACAATCCCAATCAAAATTGCACAGGCACTCTTCTCAGAGGTAGAACAGACAATCCTAAAATTTGTATGGAACCACAAGAGACCCCAAATAGCCAAAGTTACATTGAAAAAGAAAACCAAAGTGGGAGGCATCACAATCCTAGACTTTAGCCTCTACTACAAAGCTGTAATCATCAAGACAGTATGGAATTGGCACAAAAACAGACACATACACCAATGGAATAGAATAGAGAACCCAGAATTTGACCCACAAATATATGGTCATCTAATCGTTGACAAAGCAGGAAAGAGTATCCAATGGGAAAAAGCTAGTCTCTTTAGTAAGTGGTGCTGGGAGAACAGACAGCAGCATGCAAAAGAATGAAAGTGGACACTTTCTAGCACCATACACAAAAATAAACTCAAAATGAATGAAAAACCTAAATGTGAGACAGGAAACCATCAAATCCTAGAGGAGAAAAAAGGCAACAACCTCCTTGACCTCAGCTGTAGTAATTTCTTGCTCGACACATCTCCAAAGTCAAGGTAAATAAAAGCAAAAATGAACTATTGTGACCCTCATCAAGATAAAAATCTTCTGCACTGCAAAGGAAACAGTCGACAAAACCAAAAGGCAACTGATGGAATGGCAAAAGATATTTGCAAATGACATATTAGATAAAGGACTAGTATCCAAAATCTATAAAGAATTTACCAAACTCAACAGCCGAAAAACAAATAATCCAGTGAAGAAATGGGCAGAAGATATGAATAGACACCTTTCCAAAGAAGACATCCAGATGGCCAACAGACACATGAAAAGATGCTCAGCATCACTCATCACCAGGGAAATACAAATCAAAACCACACTGAGATACCACCTCAAACCAGTCAGAGTGGCTAAAATTAACAACTTAGGAAACAGACGTTGGCGAGGATGTGGAGAAACGGGCACCCTCCTGCACTGTTGGTGGGAATGAAAACTGGTGCAGCCACTCTGGAAAACAGTGTGGAGGTTCCTCAAAAAATTAAAAATAGAACTACCCTACCACCCAGGACTAGGAATTTATCCAAAGACTACAGGAGTGCTCATTCCCAGGGGCACATGTACCCCAATGTGTATAGCAGCACTTACAACAATAGCCAAATTATGGAAAGAGCCTAAATGTCCCATCAACTGACGAATGGGTAAAGAAGATGTCGCTTATATATAACACAGAATACTACTTAGCAATGAGAAATAATGAAATCTTGCCCATTTGCAGCAATGTGGATGGATCTGGAGAGTATTATGCTGAGTGAAATGTCAGTCAGAGAAAGACAGATATCATGTTTTCACTCAAATGTGGAATTTGAGAAACTTAACAGAATACCATAGGGGAAAGGAAGGGGAAAAAATAGTTACAGAGAGGGAGGGAGGCAAACCATAAGAGACACTTAAATACAGAGAACAAACTGAGGGTTGATGGGGGGGGATAGACGGGGTAGAGGGGAAAATGGGTGATGGGCATTGAGGAGGGCACTTGTTGGTATGAGCACTGGGTGTTGTATGTAAGCAATGAATCATGGGAATCTACCCCCAAAACCAAGAGCACACTATATACACTGTATGTTAGCCAACTCGACAATAAATTATATTAACTAATTAATTAATTAAAAGATAATTTTTGTTTATTGTATTTACTTTTGAGGGGGGACGGGCAGAGAGAGAGAGAATCCCAAGCAGGCTGCACACTGGCACAGAGCCTGACACAGGGCTTGATCCCACAATGGCAAGACCATGACTCAAGCCAGTATCAAGAGTTGGATGCCCAATCAACTGCACCACCCAGGTGCCTCTCAATCTTACCACTTTTATTCAGTATAGTACTGGAAGTCCTAGCTGTAACAATCAAGAAAAAGAAAGGAAAGGCATGCAAATTTGAAAAAAGAAGTGAAACTATAACTACTTGCAAATAACATGACACTATGTATAGAAAACCCTAAAGACTCCACTAAAAAACTATTAAAATAAATGAAACTGTTGCAGGAAAATTAATATACAGAATCTGTTGCATATTTATACACTAATAACTATCAAAAAGAGGAATTAGGAAAATAATCTCATTTACAATTGCATCAAGAAGAATAAAATACCTAGGAATAACTTTAATTGAGGAAATGAAAGACCTGTACACTGAGAACAGTAAAACACTGATGAGAGAAATCGAAACCACCACAAATGAAAAGTGATACCATGAATTGGAAGAAATAATATTGTTAAAAATGTCCATACATCCAGATCTGACCTACAGACTGCAGATTGAGTGGAATCCCTATGAAAACACATATGCCATTTCTCACAAAACTAGAACAAGTAATCCTAAAATTTGTATGGAACGACAAAGACCCTGAATAGCCAAAGCAATCTTCAGAAGGAAGAACAAAGCCCTGATCTCCAACTATACTACAAAGCTATCATAATCCAAATATGATGACAGTGGCACAAAAACACGTACATTAATTAGTGGAACAGAATAGAAAGTCCAGAAATAAACCCATGCTTATATGTTCAATTAACGTTCAACAAAGGAGACAGGAAATACAATGCGGAAAACACAATCTCCTCAATAAATGGTGTTGGGATAACTGGACGATTTTTTATATCATATACAAAATAAACTTAAAATGGAGTAAAGACTTAAATATAAGACCTGAAATCATGAAACTCCTAAAAGAACACAAGGTTCAATTCTTGGACATTGATCTTAGCATTATTTTTTTTTTTCTATCTATCTCCTCAGGCAAGGGCAACAAAAGCAAAAGCAAATGAACAAACAGAAAAATCAAATAGGACTACATAAAACTAAAAAGCTTTTGCAGAGTGAAGAAAACCATCAACAAAAAGGTAACCTACTGAATGGGAAAAGACATCTGCAAATAACATAACTGATAAGGGATTAATATCCAAAATATATAAAGAACTCACAATTCAATATCATAAAAACAAATCAATTAAAAACTAGGCAAAGAATCTGAAGACATTTCTCCAAAGATGACATACAGATGGCCATCAGATGCATGAAAAGATGCTCGACATCACTAATCATCAGGGAAATGTAGATCGGGACCACCATGAGACATCATCTCACATCTGTCAGAATGGCTAGTATAAAAAAGATAAGAAATAACACATGTTGATGAGGATATGGAGAAAAGGGAACTTTTGTGCACCATTGGTAGGAATGTAATTTGCTGCAGTCACCATGGAAAACAGTATGGAGGTTCCTCAAAAAATTAAAAATTAAAACTAAAACATACAATCCAGCAAGTTTTACTTCTGGGTATTTATCCACAGAAAAAATGAATTTGAAAAGAAGATGCACCCTTATATTCATTGCAGTATTATTTATAATAGCCAAGATAGGGAAGCCACCTAAATGTCTATCAGTAGATTAATGGATTAAGAGAAGGTAATATATACGTACAATGGAATACACCTAGCCATAAAAAAGAAGGAAACTTACCCATTTGCAAAAACATGGATGGATCTAGAAAGTATAATGCTAAGTGAAATAAGACCGAGAAAGACCAATGCTATATGATTTCACTTGTATGTGAAACTTAAAAAAAAGCAAACAAAACAAAACAGAAACAGACTCGAAGATACAGGAAATAATGTGGTAGTTGTCGGGGGTAGGGGTGGGGTAAAGGATGATAGATGGGAAGGGGATTAAAAGGTACAAACTTCTAGTTATAAAATAAGACACAGTGATGCAATGTACAGTACTGGAAATGTACTTAATAAAATATAACAACTTTGTATGGTGATAGATGGTAGTTAGATTCGTCACGATGATCACTTCATAATGTATATAACTATTCACTTTGTTAAATACCTGGAACCAATAGAATATTGTATGTCAGCTACACTTCAGTTTTTAAAAAGACAGAGCATTACTTCTTTTTGTCCTGAAATAAACTCATTAAGGAATTAAAGAAAAGAAATCAAAGACCAAACGTCTACTTCCATCTTATCTGTGTTAGAAAGAAAAAGAGTGTTGTTACAGGTTCCTCAGAGACTGTTGGGAGGAGGAGTGTTGGAAAGGAAAGAAGGCAGAGGAAAGGGGTCTTGAATGAGACTTCGAAACTTCTCAGGAAAAGTGTGTTTTGTGGCAGGCACCATAGTTCATTTGTGTTTCTGTCCTTGTTTTCAGAATTTTCCCCAGAGAATACCTCCTTCAACAGATCCACCTGTATTCCCTCGCTGATCTGCAGCAGGTAAGCACTCAGAAGGGCCATTGCATTGCTCTTTTCTCACTGGGAAAGTGTCTTTGTTGATTATGGTCCAGGTACTGAATTCTGCCATCATTGGGGTAGTTTCTTCACAAGCCCTGATAATCAATTTCTACTCAGAATGAGAAGGAAAACTTACTATAAAAACATATTACAGGACAATAAGAAATGTTGGCAAGGATATGTAGAGATACCAGAGCTCTCTACATTGTTGGGGGGAATGTGAACTGGTACGGCCACTTTTAGAGACAGTTTGATGGTCCCTCAAAAAGTTAAACAGGGTTACCCTATGAACCAGCAGTTTGTTCCACTCCTAAAATATATGCAGGAGAATTGAAAACTTACATCCACGTAAAACTTGTATTTTTTTCAAGTTCAGAGCAGCATTATTCATAGAATAGAGTAAACCAAAGAATAGCAGTACCCCAGTGTTCATCAACTGGTGAACAGATGAACAAAATGCTGTATATCCATACAATGGAATATTATTTGGCTGTGAAGAGGAACAGCATACATGCTGTAATGTGGGTGAATCTTGAAATCATCATCCTGAAAGAAGCCAGACAGAAAACAAGATATATTTATGATTCTATTCCACAGACAGAAAGTAGGTGAGTGCTTGTCAGCACATGGGCAGAGCAAGGGAATAAGGACTGACTGGTGACGGCCCAGGGGTTTCCTTTGAGGCTGATGAAGGTGTTCTGGAATTATGTAGTGGTTATGGTTGCACAACCATCTTTGGAAGAGTGAATTTTATGGTATGTGAATTATATCTCAAAAATTGTACACAGAAGATCTTAAAGGCAATGACTGTTATGAAATTCTTTGACTGGTGCTATGTCAAACAGTTGGGAGGACTTTGAAATTTAATAAAACATAGAGATCATATAAGAGTCAAAATCATCTTTTAAAACTTTTATTAGTGCTCATCCTTTTAATGATTGACCAGGTTAGCAACCAGGATGAAAACCAATATTTTGTCTGTTCAATCCAAAGTCCTGAATATGCTAAGCTTTGGTTAATCATTTAAATCAACAACTCACTCCCTAAGAAGCTTTTAGATGCTAAAAGCTTTCCATATATCTATTTTTTGAAGAGTCAATTAACGAGAATAATTGTGACAACTTCCTGAGCATCTCAAATTGTTCTGATTCTGTTCTTTTGTTTGGCATCGTTGTCCTCTGCTGGTTGTGCCCACAGAAGTAAGGTCCACTTAACAGGAGAAACTTCACAGAGGACTGTGGGGGAGGAGAAGGGAAAAAAAACAGTTAAGGAGGCGGAGGGAGGCAAACCCTGAGAGACTCTTAAATACTGAGAACAAACTGAGGGTTGATGGGGGTGGGGCAGAGGGAAAGGGGGGGATGGGCATGGAGGATGAGCACTGGGTGTTATAGGGAAACCAGCTTGACAATAAAATATTTTTAAAAAATAAGGAAAGAAAGAAAGAAGGTCCACTTAAAAACCGTTCAGATCCTTCAGTCATTTTGCAAGACTTTAAAGTATCTTTTTTTTTTTTTTTTTTTAACTTCAGACTTTGGTGTTTCCTTTGTACACTGAGGGAGGAAAGTTATTTTAAATGGTAGTAGCAGTTTTGGAGCATTTCGTTGGAAAGATCTGAGAGGATGGGAGTGTTCTCATTTCCATGTGTGCATTTCCAGTTTAACCTACTTGCACATGTCATCTCCTCCTGCTTCTTCAGTCCTGCACACCCTTTACTACATAATCGAGCAGCAATGATCTGCTGGCTGGGGTGGAAAAATGTAGATTTGTATTTATAATTGCCTAGTGGTATTCAAGGAGAACTGATGAAAGTACCTGTTATACACTTAATCTATTTCCGAGGACTTTACTTGATCATAGTATCAGAGAACCCACTTGAGAGGTATGTTTAAAGGCACGGACATAGTCTTGTAAGCGTGGTTTAAAATAGGATGGGTGTGTTCCAAAGTGAGTACTCTTTGAGGAAGGCTTTTTTTTTTTTTTTTTGAAGCTTATTTAGAGAAAAAGAGTGCATGCACACGCAGACAGGCAAGGGGCAGAGAGAGAGGGAGAGAGAATCCCAAGCAAGTCCCACTCTCAGGACAGAGCCCGACGTGGGGCTCGATCTCAAGACCCAAGCCAAAATCAAGAGTTGGAGGCTTAACTGACTAAGCCACCCAGGCACCCCAGAGGAAGCCTTTCAAAAATGTTTACCAGATGGGGGCGCCTGGGTGGCTCAGTCTGTTAAGCGTCCGACTTTCGCTTAGGTCATGATCTTGCGGTTCATGGGTTCGAGCCCCAGGTCATGATCTTGCGGTTCATGGGTTCGAGCCCCAGGTCATGATCTCGCGGTTCATGGGTTCGAGCCCCAGGTCATGATCTCGCGGTTCATGGGTTCGAGCCCCAGGTCATGATCTCGCGGTTCATGGGTTCGAGCCCCACGTCGGGCTCTGTGCTGACTGCCAGCTCAGAGCCTGGAGCCTGTTTCAGTCTGTGACTCCCTCTCTCTCTGACCCTCCCCTGCTCACGCTGTCTCTCTCTCTCCTAGAAATAAATAAAAACATTTAAAAAAATTAAAAAAAAAATGTTTACCAGATGAAGAGAAGGAATCAGAGCAATTCCATATTCATTTTAGGGTTTGAAAGTAGTGTATCCATTTGGCATGATAAAGCCTGCTATTTAAAGCTTTCCTATGCCTTGGGGACTTTCCCCTGCCCCTTGTAATAATCAAACCACATATGCCACACAGCTTACGTAAGTCAGTGACAGCAGTATTCCTGGTGGGCTGGACCATTAGCCCCTGGAGCCCCATAAGCAGATTAATCAGTTTTCAGCCTCAGTAGTAAAGTGATAGAGGCAATCAGCAGCTCATCAAACTCCCTGGGTTGGGGTGGGGGCATGGGGGCACATGGCCAGAGCTCTGTGCATCCATTTAATACACAACAGCTCACTCTAACCTGGTTCTTTGTGCCTGGTTTTAAGATCCTCAAACTTATCATATTTAGAGGAAGTGTAATTCAATTACTTTTTCTGCCTGAGGTGGTTTAAATTGAATTTAGCTTTTGATCTGTCCAAATCTAGGCTATCAGTACTGAAAGGCACCCACCGCATTTTCTCTTCATTTCCAAGTCAATTTCAGGCATGTTTTCTGGATCTGAACTGTTCTTGTGAACACATAAGAGGAACGCAAGAGGAGAAAGAAATACACTACTGCTCTGTCACAGAGCGCGCGAGTGATAGCGTCGCTCCAGCCTAGCTGGCAGAGCTGCTGGCCCTGTGCGGTCCTGTCCTGTTCTGCCCTGGGTGTGGCTGCTTCGCCATCCTGTTTCATGCCAGCTTTGGAGTTTTAGAGTAAGTTATTTCCCACCATTTCGTGTCCCTCCACACTCCTAAAATAAAGGTTTCTGTAGAGTAGATCTATCACATAGAATAACTATAGAATAGGGGCGCCTGGGTGGCTTAGTCGGTTAAGCGTCCGACTTTCGCTTAGGTCATGATCTCGCGGTTCGTGGGTTCGAGCCCCGCGTCGGGCTCTGTGTTGACTGCCAGCTCAGAGCCTGGAGCCTGTTTCAGTCTGTGACTCCCTCTCTCTCTGACCCTCCCCTGCTCACGCTGTCTCTCTCTCTCCCTCCTAGAAATAAATAAAAATATTAAAAAAAAAAAAAAGAATAACTATAGAATAATGAGCTTCAGTTTATAAATTTTGCAGGGGGTGGAAGGTACACTAAAGTAACTGAAGAGTTAGAGAACTTGAATGATGATAATATAAATAATCCTTCCTAAAGGCATAGATTGCTCTCCACAAATTCTTCAGTGAATTCAATTTTTCCCATTAGCTTTTACTTAAAAAACAAAATGTGGATAGCTTCTTCTCCAAAAATCAAAAAAAGTAAGAATTTAAGAAACATGGTAAAGGGGGGCTTATAATCTAAGGATCTATAATCTTAAAATGACACAGTACACAAAACGCTAGTAATGCCTAAGATAAGGATGCTGAAAGAATTCTGGTATCAAAACATTTGCTTCCTTCTATCTCTGTTTCCATTTATATACATAACAGTCTCCAAGTTTAGGAGACAGACTCAGTTCCACAACGTGGCTGGAGATTCCAAGCTACCTGAATGCTTCTGACGTTACTTTCAAGACCAATTGCGCCCCACGTCTCATTTTCTGAACTTAGTGGCCTCTTTACACACATTCTCCTCTACTTCTGTACACTTGGGTATGAGGACCACGAACAGCACTGACTGACCCTGCTTAGCAGAAGGCGCTCCCCACTGTTGTTCTGGGAGCTGCAGTTGCCTGCTCGCTAGCCAACGAATGCCAATTACCGGCAAAGTTTGTAGTTCATGCTGGTACCAAATCCCTAACTGTCTGTTTATTTCACCAGTGATTAAGTTGCTCCCTGGGTTTCACTAGCACCTCATAAAGGTAGTAGTTGAGCACACAGTCGTTTCCTGACTATAATCAGTGCGCAGCCTTATTACATGCGACTCAGAAGACATAAACAAGCACTCCACCTGCCTCATAGCAGGTTCAAGGCTGGCAAAGGACAGGGGCAGAGGCTCTCCAGATCCTAGGAGCTCAGAGGGGCACTGACTTGAGTCCGTCATTTCTTAAGTCTAGAGTTTCAGGTGAATTTCTGTTCAAGTTAGTAGATACTGTTAGAAAAACTTATTCAATCCATGCTCTTTGAATATAAGTCCAATATGATATATTATTGATATTTTTAACAAAACATGTTTATTTTGAGAGAGAGGGAGGGAGAGCACTTACGTGTACATGTGAGCATGGAGGAGCAGAGAGAGAGAGAGAAAGGGAGACAGAGAATGCCAAGCAGGCTCCACACTGTCAGCACAGAGCCCAACACAGAGCTCGATCCCAGGAACCAGGAGATCATGACCTGAGTTGAAACGAAGAGTCAGATGCTTCACCAACTGATCCACCCAGGTGCCCTCTATTGTTGTTTCTTGAAAAATAAAATCATGAAACTTTCTTTCAGGAGG